GCCCGGGCCAGAGGGGCGGGAGGGTCTCAGAGCAGAGGACAGAGTACACAGCAGAACTACACGTGAACGGGCACAGCCCGGGACGGAGCAGAAAACACGGGCGCAGCGTGAGAACGGGGCGGTGCTCCCCAGTGCCGAGTTTACAACTGCGGAGCCCCGAGGCCTACAGACGGACCCGCTGGGCACGGGGCGGGTGTTCGCTGATGTGGGCAACAGGGAAGGGAAGCACCCCCGGGAGGGCCCGCGGGAGGGTGGGAGAGAAGCCGGCAGGCCGTGTGGACGCCACTGTGTCCACGCTGGGATGGGCGAGGGGCGGGGCTGGGCGGGCCATCAGGCGCTGCCACCTGGCCAAGGCTCCATGTGCCAGGCCCCGAGGGGCAGAGGGCAGGCGCTGCTGGGTGCAGCGGGCGCCCTGGCACTAGGAAGGGCACTGACCTGTGAGCTGCCGGTCGCCTCCGCCTTCCGCCTGCAGATAGGCCAGATCAGGGTGCACCAGGAGCCCTGGGTTGTAGCCTCGCACGCAGGCGTCCGTCATCCGGGCTTCCAGGGTCTCGAAGACCTTTTTCTTTGTCACATGAAGGATGCCCAGGTTTGCAAAGCTGCGGAAAGAGCACCGCCGGCCAAGTCAGGGGGGCTGAGCGTGCACCCCGGTGCGCTGGGAGGGGGCGGCGCACAGACTTCAGCGCTGGGCCCCGCTTCCATCCCCCCGACATGCTACAGAGGGACACCGGCAAGCAGCAAGCGCGGGGACACAGGCCCCAGCTGCCTCTCGCTGCAGGCTGGCCGAGCCGCCTCAGGGAACACGGGGCTTTCAGAGGCAGTGGGGGCACGCATGGCTGGATGTGCGGCCCAACCCGCTCCCAGGACACCAGGACGCAGGGTGGACGCAGGGCAGAGGGCTCCCTCAGACCTGCACCCGTGAGACGCCGCCCGCAGCAGCGGCCAGGGGCGCGTGGAGGCAAGGAAGGGAGGCGGGGCGCGTTCTCCCGAGAAGCCCCCTCCAGTGACCCACACTGGAAGGATCCCCAAAACAAGGGGTTTACGGCCGAGTAAGCAGGAGGCTGGGTGGGATGAAGAAATGTGCTGTCGGGACGGCACGGAGTCCTGCCCGGGGCCACGCAGGTCTGGAAGGTGTGGGGGACCTGGGAGGGGGCCCGCCGCTCACCCGGGCTGGCAGCGCCCCCTCCACTGTGCTGGGACTAAGATGCACGTGCAGCGGCGGGCCCCTCCGGCGGGGACAGCCAAGTGTGAGCAGGTGCTGAAGCTAAACAGCCGAAGCTAAAGCCTCAGCAGCAGGCCACACCAGGGACACCCCACATCTCCCGGCCCTTGTTTGGGGAGCCCTGGGGCTGTAAGAACCAGCCACCCTCCCGGGGTACTCCACCGCCAGAGGCACCCCCCCACCCCCTGCAAGGAAAGCCTGTTTGCTTCTCAAACGTTTCCAGTTTGCCATAAAACTGGGGAAACGCCATCTTTGTGCCCCCACCGGCCCGGCCACAGCCCGTGGGGACCGCCCAGGCGGGGGAGCACAGGCACGCTCATCGGAGCCCCGATTCGCTTGGCCGGGGCCTGCGGGGTCTGTGCAGGCAGCACACGAGGCTGCCCCGGGAGCGTCCGGGGTCCGGCCTCCGAGCAGCTCCCACAGGCCGGGGAGCCCCGCCCTTCGGGCCTGAGCCACCGGGACGCCCGCCGCACGGACACTGCAGGAGGTGTGTCAGCCCGTTCAGACAGTCACGTAAGTTCTAGACACAACCAAGAGCAGGGCACGGGTGAAAGATGAGGTTCATCTCCCGGAAAGGCCGGTCCTTCAGAGAGCAGCGGTTTTAGCTGACACACGGAAGCAAAGTCAAGCAAGGTGAGAAGACCAGAGGATGTTCCAAAGGAAAAAAGACACAACCACAGGAAAACACTTCGATGGAACAGAGGTTGAGTCGTCTGCTGACGGTGCTCAAAGCTCTGGCCACGAAGACGCTGCGCCCAGCAGCCTTCCACAGAGGAAGCACCAGCCGGAAGTCTCAGAGCAGATGGGCTAGGACAGAACCACCCCGAGGAGGACCCAGCCACAGAGCAGACGGAGCAGCACGGGTCAGCGGGCCGGAGGGCAGCAGAGGGCTCCGGCAGACAGCAGCCGAGGGGGCGCCTCAATGCAGCCGCATGCCCGTCCAGGCCACAGAGGCCCCAGGCCAAGGTGGGAGAAGGGAGAAACCGGTTTGAAGAAGTAACAGTTACAAATGTCCCTAGTTGGGGCCGGAAACAACCATCGAGGAAGCAGAGCAATCCAAACAAGAGAAACCCAGAGACGGACCACACCAAAGTGTTACAAGAAAGTTACAAAAGAAAGTTACAGATCCAGAGAGAGTCTTACTGGCAGCCAGACAACCGGGGTGGGGTGCACCAGAGCTCCCCGCCTCCCAGAGACTACAGCAGACACGTCAGCAGAAGCTCTGCAGGCCAGCAGGGGTGGCACAGCACAGTGAAGTGCCGGAAGGCACAAAATTCCAGCCAGGGACTCTGACAAACTCGCAGCACTCGGAACTGAAGGAAAAACAGTGTGTTGTAGACAAGCAAAAGTAAAGGGATTTATCACCACCAATAACCAACCTGAGAAGAAAGGTAATGGGGCTTAAGCCAAGAAGGAAAAGCACTAGTGAGCAGCAAAGACAACACGAAAGAAGCAACCTCCCTGGTGAGCAAACCACCCAGAACAGGACAGGACTAACCCCGAGGCCAGCAGGCGAAATGACCGCCAAAAGCAGCCTCGCTACTGCAGCAATTAGCCAGCGGGGGCACAGGACGGAAGTGAAAAGTGTGACATCAGCAATACGAAACGAGGAGCAGAAAACAGTAAGTGTTGCACTGGGACTAGACTGACCTAGCGTGGGGCCCCAGGCGAACAGCCCACCCACTGCAGGTGGGAAAGCGGGGCCAGGCTCCCGCGTCCTCAGGTGCCGGGCAGTCGGGACAGAGAGCAACAATGTGGGAGCCGCGAGTCACAGCGAGAACATGAGCACAGGCTGGCATGGCCCTGCTCACCCCTTTCCCCGTGAACGCGGCAGTCCACGAGTCTGCACGGGAAGGGCTCACTGTGTCATCGCTCGGACTCACTCAGAGGCCAGGCGCTCGTGGACGCACTCGATTTGCAGAATATTTTTCTCTTTGGGCGCCCTTGGGTTTCAGGATAGAATTTAAAGTCGACCTGGGATAACCCTATGTCCTCTGGGCTCTCTGCAAGGTCGCAATCATTTATCATCAGGAGACAATCGCCTAATTTTACATGTGCTCAGACCTGAAGGCTACCTGGAGTGAAGGGCGGAGAAGCTTGTGTTGCACAAAGACCACCTGGATATAGAGTAAAATACGTCAACAAGCTGAATAACACAACCGAATAGATATCCAGAATAAGGACATGATATGGGTGCAGCACGACTCAGAGAAGCAGACTGAACACTGCCCTGGACACTGCCGCCGCCCTAGGCCATGTGGGGTGTGACGGCAGCGCAGAAGCAAATCTCCCAGTGCATTCACAGGGTGGTAAGTGTTGGCCAAAAAAATCAAGCAGGAAGGGGACTAGGGGCTTGACAGGGAGAGGGGAGCTGGCTCTCGCTGACAGTGTGTGGTCGGAGCAGGCTGGAGGGAAGAGGGAGAGAGAGGGGGCCTCCGTGACGGAGGTACGGCAGGGACCCGGGCAGGCCCAGCCTGGCGTTTCCCAGGCAGCACTGGTGGGGTGCAGGGGCTGGGCGCAGCCCTGTGAAACCGGCACAGTACGCAGGACTTTGCTGCTATCCAGACAGTGACAGAAAAATACCAGGGAGACAGACAGAGAAGGAAATACACTGGTCTGTGCCTCTGTGCAGCAGAAGCTTCTCGGGGGCAGAGCGCTGCAGGATGCACAATGGAGCCTGACACGGGGCCTGACCAGGGCGACTCAACAGCCGCTCACGCGCGCGAGCACAGCAGAGAGAGGGTGCGCACAGGGCGGCACAGGGACCAGCGCTGGGTCCGCAGGGCCTCCAGGCCTTTCCCAGCAGCACCGCGGGACCAGGTGCCCCCGGGGCAGTGGGGCGACAGGCATCTGCCCCGCGCTTGGCAGCCCTGTCTCTACAAACCATGAAAGGACGGTGGGAAGCCAGTCAGAGACACCCATAATCCCAGAGAGCCCAGCTCCTCAGCGGGCCCCAGAGCACGAGGAACGCTGAGAAAGCCCCACGAAGGCTGCCTAGGTCTGCTGGGAAGCGGACAGAGAAACGCCATGCTGTGTGTGGAGGGGCGAAGCTGAGGACAGTGGGCAGCTCTGGGGGCAGGAGGGCGGTGGCAGGAGATGGCTAGGAGGCGGCCGCAGGAGGGGGGCGGGCAGGAGGCAGCTGTGGGCATGTGCCAGATCCTAAGAGCACATGCCAGGTCACTGTGAGCCCAGCGCTTTGCATCTCAAGCCAGAGCTGATGGAGAGCACAGCTGGGACCACCACAGCCAGGGTAGGGGGGCATGGCGGGCAGGGAGAGGCGGTGGCTAGGCAGCAGTGGGCAGGACCCTGACCTAGGAAGAGAGCCGGAGCACGGAACATGAACTGCGCTTTCCTTCTTTAAAAATGCCTTTAAACAAGAAAAAGATAAACAAGGAATCCAAATGGGGAAAGACGTAAAACTGTCTTTATTTGTAGACGAGATGTTAATTTACATAGAAAACCCTAAAAACTCGAAGAGAAACTAATCAAAATCATCAACCAGTTTAGCAGGGTAGCAGGATATAAAATCAACACACAAAAGTCAGAGGCCTTCCTATACCCGAACAACCTATCAGAGGAAGCAGGAAACAAACAAAACAAAACAAAACAAAACAAAAAAAACCCATCCACTTTTCAATTAAAAGAATCAATTACCTGGGGATTAAAACAAAAAGAATCAATTACCTGGAAATCAACCTAACAAAAGAGGTAAAAGACCTATATAAAGAAAACTACAAGACACTGTTAAAAGAAATACAAGAGGCGCAGAGGGTTAAAGGACAGCACTAAGAAGCAAAAGTCACGTTAGCATGAATTTGATCCCCGCCCCGGAGGAGATCCACATGGTGCAGCAGACCTCTCCTGACCCGCCTGCTGCTCCCCTCAGCAGTGTATTCTAGAAAATCTGCCTGTTCAGCTCCCCTCTCTGTTTCTGGTGAATCCTCTCATCACCCCCTGCACCTTTGGCCTGCACCCCAGTTCTATATGATTAAATGAATAAATCTTAAAAAAAAAAAAAAAGAGAGAAATACAAGAAGACATCAAGAAATGGAAAGACATCCCTGCTCATGGATCGGGAGAATTAACTTCATCAAAATGGCCATCCTGCCAAAAGCAATATGCAGATTTAATGCCATCCCCATAAAAATCTCAATGACATTCTTCAAAGAAACAGAACAAATATTGATGAGATTCATATGGAACCACAAAAGACCTCAAATGGCCAAAACTCTCAGGACTAAAAAGAAAGAACGGAGGCATCACAATCCCAAACTTCAAGCTATACTACAAAGCCATAGTACTCAAAATTGCATGACACTGGAACAAGAACAGACACACACATCAGTGGAATCGAACAGAAAACCCAGATATAAACCC